CCTAGTCACCTATTATTATTTAATAAAAAGCTAGGTATAAGTATAGGTTATCTATTAAGGTTACTCTTCCTTATAGGAGGAAATAGGTAATAGGATATATACCCCTAGGTATATGCCTAGATATATACTAACAAGGTAATCCTATATCCTACCTGTCTATCTACTATATAAGGCACTTGTCCTATAACACTATTAGATATATTAGTCTTTAGCTTATTAAAGTACACTTATTAAAGGGAGGTTAAATATCTAGATAACTAGGTTAATAATTTAACTATTACTAGTAAAAAAGTGTTTTTAGCCTATTATATAAAGGCTAAAGATATAGCTATAATAGTCTAGAATATTAGAAGTAGCTAAAGGTTAACTAGACTATAGCTAATATATATATAGTAGCCTCTATTTAACCCTATAGTTACTAAGGACTAATAGACTAGCTAGACTAACTAGCCTAGTAGCTAATAGTAGAATAAAGCTATATTTATTATCTTATAGTTAACCTTTTATTAGTTTACTAAATTATAGTATTAACTATACTAGTTAAACTAGTTAATAAAAGATAAGTTAAATACTTATACTATTTATTATTTATCTAGAAAAATATAAAAGGGGTATAATAAGTAGGTATCTAGAAATATATTTCTAGAGTAAAAGGTCTACTAGCTAGAGGGTAAGTTAGATAACCTATAGTAACACAAGAGAAAAAAGGTCCCCCTATTGCCTAATAGCACCTTTACTACTATATATGATATCTGGTGGGCGTAAACCCTGGATATTGGCGATATGGATAGTCTAGATGAATCTAGCGCATCTGAATTACCTAGTGAGGCCAGAAGTTGCATATGGGTGGGCGGCAGAGGTGGTGAAATAAGTGGTGATAGTGGTGGTGATGGTGGTGGTGATGATGGGCCGGATGTGGGGGGTAGCCGGAAGTAGGGTAGTTGAGTTATCTATCTATTTCCTCTGGCACTGGCCGCCTCTTATCTTGAGTTACCAGCGGAGATGGCCAGTAATCTACTTCTGCTATCGGGTCCATGGACCTATCCCCTGGGCCGTTTGTGCGACAAGGCAGGAGAGGATGATGCATCTCACTAGGGCCTCAATGGCGTGCTTCGAGCGCCATGTCACCTGGTACCCAATCCCGACATGGGGATTCTTTGGCCCATAAATGCGGCACACGAAGTTCTGCACGAAGAACCGAAAATCTCTGTAGTTTCACGTCCTTGCCGGTATCTTGTTTGGAATCACTCTGAGCCAACGAGTTAGCTATCGAAAGAACTTTTGCTCGAGAAACAAGATTGTCAAAATCTAAATTCTGCTCAAGATGGCCGACAAGCCGAGTAGGACGTCAGAGGTCGCACACTCTACTTTTCAGCCAGAAAGAGTTGTTGGTAAGGCATACAGCCATACGCATATTACTTCATCTTTAAATGCTTACAGACACCAGTAAAGTGGTACCGGTCACCATTCTACAATGCCACGATCCTTGGCATCTGCAGCTTCGCCGCACCCGGTCTTTGGGGTGCGATGAATTCACTCGGAGCCGGTAAGTAAACCACTCAAAAGGGCCTCGCAGCACGTAGACTGACCGCTTTCAGGCGGTGCACAAGAGCCGTATCTTGTAAACACGGGCAACGCCCTTACATTCTGTCTCATGATAGTTTCATGCTGGCTAACTTCATCAATCGTCAAATATATCGGTATCAAAGGTGCCCTTGTTGCTGGAACAATCGGTTTCGCCCCGTACAGTGCTGGCCTTTACCTAAATAACCGGTATGGTGCCGAGTGGCTTGTCATTCTCGGTGCTGCTTTTTGTGGCGTATCGGCTGGTATCTTCTGGGGCTCTGAAGCTGCCATTGCTATTGCATATCCCGAGCCACATAACAGAGGACGAATGATTGCTTATTGGCTCACTTGGACAAGATTCGGTCAGATCCTTGGTGGTGCAATCAACCTTGGCCTGAATTCTGATCGTAATGGAGCTGGGAAGGTCTCTTACAAAGTCTACCTGATTTTCATTGCCCTGCAATCTTGTGGTCCATTGGTGGCATTGCTGCTGAACAGGCCACACAAGGTTCAACGGAGCGATGGCAAGCCGGTGAAGCTTACTATTGCTGACAACCCTTGGAAAGAGATCAGAGCCACGACAAGCGCGTTTTTGACACCCAAGTTTCTGCTCCTTGTCCTCTGGATCGGTCAGGGTGTCTACTCAGAGTCCATATTCTTCACTTACATTGCGCTTTGGTTTTCCGTCAGAGCCAGAGCCCTTGGCTCGTTTCTTTCCGGCATCGTGGCCATTGCGGCCGGTAATCTTCTTGGCCTGTGGCTCGACCAGAATCAAATCGCTCTCAAGAGGAGGGCTCGGTGGGCATTTGCCGTGATCATGACTCTGCAGGGAGCATGGTGGCTCTGGCTCACCATCAATGTTACCGAATACCGCCGGACGCAACCCACGTTTGACTGGGGCGATCCGGGGTTCGCAAGAGGATTCGGAGTCTCCATCTTCTTGGTTTCTGGATTCCAGCTCAACTACAATTTCGCATTCTTCATCATTGGGCAAATTTCAGAGAGTCCGCAAGAAACTATTCGACTTGCTGCCCTTCTCCGTGGTACAGAATCTGCCTGGCAGGCTGTCAGCTACGGACTCAATGCCATTCCGATATTTGCGCTTGTTGGCGGGCCGTACATCAACTTTGGGCTTTGGTTCGTGTCCATCTATCCCGCTTGGCTGGTTGTCAGACATTTCGACGCCAATGACAAGGAGACAAATTTTAAGTCTGGTACTCGGTCAAATGTGGTATCCCAGCTCGAGCCCTAAGGATAAGGTCAAAATTCCTCAAAGGAACACATTCTGATACACGTTCATTCACCGAGTAAAGAATCTTTCATCCAAATTTGGGCGTATGGCTGCAGTTTGATCAGCTTGACTGGTGTTATTAGGAAACCGCGCTGTTTGCTATCATAGCTCATAGTCCTTGACTTTGTCCATGCTACTTAGTACCATCTTGGAATTCATTCTCCAATGAACAGTGACGAAGCACAATTAAATGCTCTGTAACCTTTGCGTCATTATTGAGGTTCTTCGTCTTATTCTAGAACGATCCTGTTGTTATACAGCGCGCCAGAAAACGGAAAGGAATGACGATGAATTACACTTCCAGTTTCAAATATTAATATTCGCTTCAGGACTGAAATATCGAATATTACTTCAACTTCATAACTCACTCGAAGCTCTGCATTTCGGCAACACAGGATATATCTACCAGCCCGAGAATTCGCCGTCTGCCTCAATATGCAGAACGATATGATAATCAACAGAGGAAGACAGCTACATTACTTCCCAAAATTCTTAGAGCTTCCTCGCGAGTTGAGAGACAGAATTTACGAGTTATCCGATTTAATCCCTACAGAAAGTGAACTGGATGCATGCGGGTCGTTGTCCGATTTGCCGTGGGCCAGGGCCTACCCAGAATCAACCCTAACTTTGGTTAGTATTCAAGTCGGAGAAGAGGCACTGCGTCTCTTGTACAATCGAAACCATTTCAGACTTTGGCTTGGGCTGGAAATTTGGGCCAGCAGCCGAACCGCAACACCGTCTGGCCTGCATTCTTTTACCGAGGCTCAGATGAGTGCGTCACACATCCCCGCACTGAGAAACATCAAACATTTGTACCTTCACTTCTTCTGCGGCTCAGGTCCTGGAGAAGAACTGGCGGAGCAGCTTGTTCGGTACGCCCCTTCTCTGGAAAAGCTAACAGTCTGTCCAAGTACCGGAGATCCATCTTACTTATCCGATGAGTACAAATCCGCTCTTACTGTGTTCATGCACAAGATCCAGCGAAGTCCCCTGCTCCATACAGTGAGATTAGCCAGTCCGATTTGTCCAAACTTTACTCAGTCACTGGCGCACTCAAGCTTCTTTTCATTCCGAGTGGAATCGGTTTGCCCAGGGCTTTCTCACGACGACTGTGACTGGAATCTTCCATGGTCTCCTGAGCAGTACACCGGATCAGCCTGCGCCCCGAGAAATGGAACAAATTCATCAGGATACCCAGTCGTGTATAAAAGTATTGAAGGTTTTTTGTGGACTGTGAGAGAGACAATCAAGCGCTGGCACATGAGTTTCTCCTATCAAGGAACACGCAGCTTGAAGCACGAGTGTGAGCAATTGTCCTGATAGATTCACCTCGTCTCTTGGATGGTCACGTTGGTTTTCGAAGTTACCGTATTCACGTTAGTAGGGGATTGCTTGGAGAACCTTGGTTTTAAAATAGATGTCCTGCTGACATTCATCATCCTTTTGTCTTCTCGCTCACACTGGCCAGAAAACAAACAAATGGCAACGCAAACACAAATACAGGGCGGTTTCTGGCAACTCCTTGTCCTTGAACATTTGGATTGGTGCTTTCATACTCTATTAATGGGTCTTGTAAGCAAACTCGCAAGGTTATATGTTTGGCAAGCAAACATGTAGGTTTTATTTTGTTGATTGAAATAATCAGATATAGGAACTGGATATTGTTATGACAACTGTCCATAGACATCAAAGATGTGCCAACTCCTTGCGTCACATTGTCTTCTACCACTTCTGATTCATCATCCGGCATGAATTGAAGAAACTAGATGGCTCGGCTCAAAGTTGAGGCCAAGCCATCATTGTTGTGATTCCGGGCAGTCGTTTCATCGTTACTCGAAAAGTATTCCATACATTTCGACTTGTCTTAGGGAACGTGAAGGATACGTCGTGCTGCCAAGGATTCAAGGTTTCACTGAAATGCAAGGGCATGTCGTTGACATCAGAAAGCACACTTGTTGACTGTTCCTTCATCTCGCTCCGTGCCCTCCTTATCGAACAACGAGGAGCACAGGTACTTTGGCTTTTCTTCCAGTCAAAAACAGTGAATGTCATCTTTAAAATGCCTTAATTATTCTCCCTGTGTAGAGCACATTGTTTTACTCTTATCTTCTCCTTCTCAAACCCTGTCAACTCTACTGCCAACATGAAACCTATTGCCATCGTTTCCGCCATACCCACCTCGCTGTTCGCGGCCCTGGTCATTGCGGATCGACAATGCCCACTTGAGTCGGACTGCATACAAAGGCTCTGCACTGACTTCAACTATAGTATCGAGTCCGCTGGGGAAAAGGGATTCATGATGGAGGCTCGTTGCAAGAACGCGGTGGGTGTCCATATATTCTCCAAGCTCAACCTTAAGAAGTGCATTGCCAATAGAGACGGTATTCTACGTTGGGCCCCCGAGTTAGTTCGCCACTCTCCTTCACTATTCCTTCACCATTCAATTACCATATCATGCTGTGTTTTTGCTTCTGACCATATCTTCTTCCCACACATAGCGGCGATTTCAGGTGCTCACACTGCCGTCTCTATGAGACAGGGCCTGATGAATATATCGGCCTCCAGTGCGACTTTTGTCCAACGAGGAATTTCTTCTGGGCCCACAAATGGACTTGGATAAATCTTTGTAAGCAACTAATCTTGTATGCCGCTTGCTTTTGTTTAACTTGAGACCTTCAGCGTATGGAATATGGGTCAGCAAGAACGGCGCCCTTAGCTGCTACAGCCACGAAGGAGAGTACCGCGCATCTTCTTGAACTCTTTCTTAGTCCAGGAGAAAAAGGTGCTCCAATGGAAGTGGAAGAGACACATATCTTTGTAATGGTTGGTTCGGTTCACGGAATCTGCGATCCTCTACAATTTGCACTCGGTTATCGGAGGTTCATAGCCCTATACAACGAAAGACCCTGGCACCAGCAGTAGAAAGGAACGTCTACAATTTGAATTCGGTCTCTCTGTTCGTTTTGGTACCAAAGTACTTGCCAATTGTAGTTTGAATATCATGTAAGATGTTGGTAGCCATGCAAAAGCACGCCGTATTCTCACTCGTGCCGTCATACAGACCTTCTCTTCAAACTCTTCTTCGCAATTCATGGAGGCTTATCCTATTAATGAAGATCGAACTTCTTGTCCGAACGCCCCCCGTGAGAAAAATGGAAAAGTTCCTTCGTCGCCTGAATCCTTGTTGCTACAGCCCTTGGCCTTGAAAGCATTTCGAATCTCAAACGCCGCCCCAGCCTCTGTAAGGCTCATGAAGGTGGTGATCCAGCTTCCCCTTTTAGACTCGTTGTTTATCAACGCGCTATTTATCCTTGCGTATTCAGGCAGACTGAACGGTGTCTTCAAGCTGATGGACGGCCCAAATAGCACTGATGTCAGACTAGACCGTCGATCCTGTAGAAATGGAACTAGGCGTGGCATATCTGCTTCACATCCGGAGACGTGATGCCAGGTGTGTACAGAGCACCTGAGATTATCATAGGCTCGGAATAGGACTCTAAGATAGATATATAGTCTGTCAGAGTCATAGTGTGTCACCTGCTTCCTGCCTTGTATACAAACCTCTAATCAAAATCGTGCAGGTGTAGGACTTGTTTAAAGGTGGTGGCCTCTTTTACGCACGCTATAAAAGATACCTACCTAGATAATAAGTAACACCTAGCCTAGATAAAAGCTCTCTCAGGCCCTCCGCCTGAAAGATTCCTAGAGTTAAGTGAAAAATGTCGCTAGTATTAGGATTTAGAGGGTAGGTGTTTATTGAAGGAAAAAACGAGTTCCTAGGACAATACCACCTTTTATGAATCCGCCCTTGCCAACCATTACTCTGTACAGGCAACTGGATTACCGCAACACTTATCCCTAGCTAATCATTTAATAGTCGTATAGTCGTGAAATACGTCTGAAGGGCAAAGAAAAGGCATTACTTGTTGCCTTTGTTTGCAAGGTTTTGCGCTGGCTTCCAGAAGATCGTCTGACTGCAGAGGACCTTTTTCAAGACGAATTCCTGAAATAGTGTTTGTAGGGAGAGCATCTAGGTCTCGTGGTTGGGGGGCTGCGTCTTCACGTGCACATAGGTCAAATGGAATCCCAATAGTGTGAGACGTATATCCGCTGTTACTTGTTTTCTTTCTGAGATTTGGCCTTTGAGTTCCCTGATTTGCGGTCTATAACTATTCTGATTGTATAACCGACCAATGTCTCACAACGTGTTTTCTCGTGGCGGAGCCCCAACACCAAATTCGCTGTCCAAGGATAGCTTCAAATGTGTCGCCGTTGGGCAAAAGCTGAGGTGGTTGTAAATGATATAATTGCTCCCATCGGCGGATGGGCCGACCAAGACAATCCCGCCCCTGCCCTTTGGTGCCATTTTGACAAAGGTCAAGGGATTGACGGAAAAAGGAGAAGGGCTCGATTGATGATGATGGTAACAGTGTGGCAATGGACAGACAGACACTGGACGCTATTGACTCGAATCGACGTTTGTGCATATTTTTCACATGCCAAAATACCATGTAGGGAATTGCCATTGAATTTTCTGGTTACCATTACGCCATGCCATATGCCTCGTCTAAACGAAAAAGGCCGTGTGCGGGCCCTGACAAAAACTCATCCCCGCGTGACCCGTGATCTGGTATACATATACAGAAGCAGAAGAAAAAAGACCTGGCATACGAGCCAGGAAAGCTACTCACACATCGAAGAGAGATACTTGCCAACGCCGCAGCGGTGGACCACCCAGCCAAAGACCTTTCCAGAACTCTAGAGAGTTGCCTCTGTTTCCAGTAACATTTGGCTCGTCTCTCGCAACTCCCGGCAGCAGATCTCGTGCACGCACCGCCTGGTTTACCAGAAGCTGCACCATCCTATGTAGTGCTGGCAGAGATTCTCCAGCTTCGTCGCCTCCGTGATGAGCTTATTGACCTGATTGATGACATCAAGCTCCTCATTCGGTTTGAAATCCTTGCCCGTCAACTTCTGAGAAACACGGTCCAATACCTCCACGGCCCGTGCATTCTGGATCTCCGTCGGGTCTTGTCCATGGTTACCGTTGACAACACTGCCTTCGTGCGCCATGGATGAGTTGGTTCTCGACCGAGAGCGTGCTACGACGCCTCCCGGCATGCCAGGATCGGCCGCGGCAAGCAATTCGGAGGGCGCCACATCAGCATCAAGAACGGATGGGCGACGTGCTCGTGCGGCTTGTGGGCCAGCAAGAGCCGACTCGCGTTCAGATCGGAAGTTCGGTCCTGCCGGGCTGGCCGCGTTCGTAAGGCGCCAGGTTAGAAGGGGATCGTGGATGAACTAGAGAACCGGATTAGTTGAAGACAGCAGCACGGGACAAAAGGAATAGACTTACCGCTTCCAATACAGCCATAACACTGTCCTTGTTGTCTCTCAGCACTCTCATGACGTGCTCGCAAGTGATGCGGAAGCTGCCCTCAATGTTGCTCACCTCCATGGCGTAGGTGAGCATGCGAGTCAGTCGGAATGGCACACGCTCTGGATACTTCTCGCGTTTCATAGCCACTTCGAAGCAGTCGCCAAAGTCGATGTGGATGATCTTGCCAGTCACACGATCGAGCATGAGGTTAGACGGGTGACGATCGCCAAGACCAAGGATGTATCCAACCATTGACATGACGCCCAAGGAGCGCGTGTAGTTGGTACGGCGCTCCAACCAAGCCTCCGAACTTTTGCTCTTGAGCCACAACACACGATAGAGATCCTGACCCGTCGTGTTGTCAAGGGCATAGCCAAAGACTTCGACTTTCTGCATGAGCGTCAGGTTGTCGTAGTCGGGAGCCATCTGGAGCATGATACGATGCTCGATATTAAGGAGGATCTTTCTGCTCTCACGGTATTCCCTAATCAACACATGGAGAGTGTCACTGTTGGGTACCCATCCCAACAGACCCGAGTTTTGGGAGAGCGGAATCGCCGGGTACCGCTGGATGTTCAGGTGTCGCTTGTAACATTCCGAATCGTTCGCCAACAAGGTGTTGCACAGACCGAACAACTGCATAACTCGTTCGTCCTGGCGAATATCCTCGTGGCCCTTGAGCAAGAAGGCATACGAAACACCGTCGCTGCCACTGATGTTGAGCTTGCGAGGCCGCTGCTTACTGTTGATAACAGTAAACGTACCCTCAAACTCCATGATGCGGACGATTGGCTGGCCGCTGCGGTAGGTTCCGGGTACCGCGAGGTCGAGGTCTTTGGCGGCGAGCAACTTCGGCGAACAGTAGGGCAGCTCAAGCGTAGTAAGCTGAGGTAACTGTCGCGAGATGCGCCGGAAGACCTGGTAGTAGAGATCCCATGCCTGGTTGAGATCATTGACGTCTCGGCTAGCCTCGTACTGACGGCACCATTCGCGGGCCTCGGTGAGGTCTCTTCCAAAAGCCTGGGTGAAAGAGATCTCGCGCAGAGTCTCCGGGCCACGCTCAAGCTGGTCGTGGAGTGGTTCGAGAGTAGCAAACATGCCCTCGATGTTGTGATCGCCAAAGTAGAGCCGCGAAGCTTCTTCGAGACCCTCGTGCCATTGCTCGTGCCATAGCACCGCGACCCTGATAAGTTCGTGGCTCACGATATCGGCTTGTGAAACGAGATTGGCGCTGTGCTGACGCATACTATCCATAATCTGAGCAGCGGATCTCGATCGGCGAGTGTTTTGCGACGACTTCATCGCCACAGTCAACGGGTAAACCAGAGCCTGCGGATGTGCTCTACCAACATCTGCCAGAAGGCTGTGGATCGACTGCTGTACGCGACGTGTCGGCTGGTTGATTCGAGCGATCAGCTGTGGAATGACCTCAAGCCAGGTATCGACGCTGACGTTGGTGAACCCTTCGGTGACGGCCGCGTTAACATCGGCACTCGCACCGTGTGTGAACCAGAGCGTCAAGAGGCGGAGGGTATCTTGCAGAGAGCTACCAGCAGAAAGAGCAATGGACTTGAAGAAGCCCCGGACAGCCGGTACAACATGCTCAATGACCATGTGGTCGGTCCTTTCACCCCTAGTGGCCAGGGCTTGCACAATCTCAAAGTTGGCCAAAGCCCATGCGTGCCATGCCTTGTACCAACGCGGGTTGTACTTGGTGGCTTGCGAGTACGAAGTCAAGATGTCCTGGACGTGCTCATATTGCCAATTCTCCTTATTCAGGGCAATGAGCCATTCACCTTGGCGCAGGTAGCACTTGGCCAAGAGGACGGTCTGATCGTATAGGGCCTTCTGTGTTTGGGGGTTCATGAGACTGGGATCAATCTGGTGAGGAAATCCATATTCGCTTGACAAGTCCATGCCATTGGGAGCCTGCGCGGTGAGATGAGCCTTGGTCGCCTCATACCGGTGTGCCGAATCATTTGTGAACTTGCGAAGGCAGTAAAGGGTCCTCTCGGAGATGCCGGATGTGCGGAACGCGGGCTGCTGACCAACCTCCCACTCATACTTGAGCATAGCGTAGATAACCTGGGACGGGATGTTTCTCGGCACAGCGGCGCTCGGCTGTTGTCTCTCATTCCAGTAAGGAATCAAGGACTCCAGAGGAGTTTGCTCGACGCCGATTAGCTGCTTCAAGGACTTCTCAGCGAGCCCCATGCGACCGGATTTGCGGCATAGGTTGGCGAACTTGATCCACATGTGCATGTTCTCCGTCGGGCTAATAACCAAATGGCGGAGACGCAGCATCCTTTGCCACACCTCCACGTTTCGTTGACAGCCCTTGAGCCTTGTCTCCCAGGTGCGTCTCATTGTCGCCTT